CTCCATATTTACTCTGAAAGCAGATAGTATTCATGTCTTGACTTTGACCTGGGATTTTGGTTTGCCTTTTTTATTTCAGCAGCAATTACATAATACTCTGTCTTCAGGATCATGTACTCTGAGCATTTCTGTTGGTTCTTGTAAAGTTCTTTAAATTTAACTTCAAAGTCCTGAGACATCTTCAGAATGTATAACATAGCAAGTAGAGGAATCTGATCCAAGTACCTCCTTTTATGTACAACTGTTCTTGCACCAATTGCTGACGAATTGCTACAGTCATATTATGAAGCCGGTCATTCTGCAAAATGACTAAAATCTTCAGTCATTTCTCAAAATGACTTTAAATTATTTTGCAAAATGACAAAATAGTAGGCAGGTATTATGCAAAATGTCTGATCTCTGTCTTTTTAAAGTTATTAGCTTAAAAGACAATAGAAATAGTTATGTTTCATTTTTTCCCCATGCTATATAGAAATACACAATAAATCACAGAACAAATGCAGATTTCTATAACAGAGACTATTGTGAGGTCATTTATGCTTTGTAAAATTTGCGTCTGTTTTTAATTATTTTCTTTCACTAGACTGATATTTGAAGCACCTGACCTTCCCTACTAGAACAATATGGATGGTCATTTCATGAAATGTTAGAAACCATTAGGCATTTCAGGTGATGGTCAAATAAAGTATGGAGTTGGACAGTGGAATAAAATGAGGCCTTCTTTGCCTCAGTATTTAGCTGCAAAATCAGTTGCTCTCTGGATACCCAGTACCCTGAACTGGTGGAAGGGGATGGGGAGCAGAATGTGTCCCTCACTATCCATCAGGAAATGGTTGGTGACCTGCTACAGCACTTGGATGTACGCACGTCGATGGGGCCAGATGGGATCCACTCGAGGATACTGAGAGAACTGGCCTAGCAGCTGGCCAAGCTGCTTACCATCATCTATCAACAGTCCTGGCTATCGGGGGAGGTCCCAGTCGACAGGCGGCTATTAAACATGACGCCCATCTACAAGAAGGGCCGGAGGGTAGACCTGGGAAACTATAGGCCTGTTAGTTTGACCTCAGTGCCAGGGAAACTCAGGGAGCAGATTATCTTGATTGTCATCATGCGGCACTTACAGGGCAACTAGGTGATCAGGCCCAGTCAGCATGGATTTATGAAAGGCAGATCCTGCTTGACGAACCTGATCTCCTTCTATGACAAAGTGACGCACTTGGTGGATGAGGGAAAGGCTGTGGATGTGGTCTAGCTTGACTTCAGCAAGGCTTTTGACACCATTTCCCACAGCATTCTCCTCAAGAAACTGTCTGCTTGTGGCTTGGACGGGCGTATGCTTCTTTGGGTTAAAAACTGGCTGGATAGCTGGGCCCAAAGAGTTGTGGTGAATGGAGTCAAATCCAGTTGGAGGCCAGTCACTAGTGACGTTCTCCAGGGCTCGGTACTGGGGCTGGTCCTCTTTAATATCTTTATTAGTGATCTGGATGAGGGGATCGAGTGCACCCTCAGTAAGTTCACAGATGACACCAAGTTAGATGCGTATGTCAATCTGCTTAAGAGTAGGAAGGCTTGTTAGTGTTAGGTCAGAGGTTGGACTCGATGATCTTGAGGCCATTAGGCATTTCAGATGATGGCCAAATAAATTATGGAGTTGGACAGTGGAATAAAATAGCCAGTATTTTCTGACATGCATTAAACCTTCAGTCATTTAATGTAATAAGTTGCTGAAACAGTCATTTCATGAAGGAACTACAAATTTCCAGTCTTTTTTTTTTTTTTTTTCAGAATAGTTGCTTCCACAGTATCATCATAATACATACAGATTGCATGTCATTTGGGCTTAAACTTCTGAAGGCCAGTTAACTTCGGGGATAATTTATTCTTGCAAGTTGAATTTAACTTGCAGGCTTCTTTTTGTTATGTCAGACTTCATAATGCTTTTTTCCAGTGTAGAGATACATTTCCAGTCCTGAATAGATACTGATTCAACTGCTCCTTCCATAGCAAAGGATGGGAACTGCAACAGAAGAAGGGAAAATAGGTTGGTGTCTGTCTCCATGCATGTGAAGTTGTCGTGGTTTAACCCAGCCGGCAGCTAAACACCACGCAGCCGTTTGCTCACCCTCCCCCCTCCCTCTCTGGGACGGGGGAGAGAAATGGAAAGTGAAGCTCGTGAGTTGAGATAAAGACAGTTTAATAAGACAGGAAAATAATAATAACAAAAATAATAATAACAATAATAATAATAATGATACAATGGTGATAATACGAAAGTAATAATAGTATGTACAAACAAGTGATGCACAATGCAATTGCTCACCACTCGCTGACCGATGCCCAGCCTAACCCCGAGCAGTCCGGCCCCCTTCCCCCGGCTAGCCACCCCTATATATTGTTTAGCATGACGTCAGATGGTATGGAATACCCCTTTGGCTAGTTTGGGTCACCTGTCCTGGGTCTGTCCCCTCCCAGCTCTTACTGCACCCCCAGCCTGCCCGTTGGCAGGACAGAGCAAAAGGCTGAGATGTCCTTGGCTTAGTATAAGCACTGCTCTGCAACAATTAAAGCATCGGGGTGTTATCAGCACTCTTCTCATCCTAAGCCAAAACACAGCATTCCACCAGCTACTAGGAAGAAAATTAATTCTAACTGAAACCAGGACAGGAGTTCACACACTCATGTTTCTCCGTACACAGCTCCCAGACACACAGTCTCTCCCATTCTCCAAGGATATGATTCAAGATTGTCCACCATAGGATTTTCCAGCAATTCTAATACACTCTTTGTTGTCTTTTCTTATTTTTTCCCATGCTTCTGTAGCACTTGACTAGTGAAATCTCTGTAGTCTTTACCTCTTCTGAATAAAAGCTTTGGGAAGACAAAGGGCTATCTGCAGTTCTTATAGCATGTGCTTCTGCATCTTTGTTAGTGGTCACGATGCCACCACTAGTACATTTTCCCTGCCTCAGCCTTTGTCAGATTGTTGTGTTTCTCTCTGCTGCAGACTTCTAAAATAGATTAGACATTGTGGGGTCTTTTCCATCAGTGCCATTCCTTCTGTAGAGGCAGAAGTCAGGGTCCTGCTTCCCAAGTTCAGATGAAGGATTCAGACATACTGTTGAATTTCTACGTTAACATTAGTCTTAACTCTTGTCAGCGCTGGGCAGGTAGTCTTTCTTTAACATTATACCACTGCAGATAGGGTTGCCTGTGGATTTGAGCTGTGCCGCCCAGTTAGTTGCATGTTACACTGCTCATCTCTGAGCCTAGCACCATTTCCATTATAGATATATATATTATATATACAGTTATACTTCAGGGAATGGATTATGTATATTATCCTTATAGGTATTTTTCTTTTCAACAAAAAATCTTATTTATTAAGCAACTGTTTGCAGGTGGAGAAAATTGTCTTACTAAGTAACCGAAAATTTAGTTTCATTTCATGAAGTTTCTGGCTGGGAGCTCAAACTGGTGTTTTATTAATGATTCCTTGGCTTTTGAAACCAGCCCTTGCCACCAATCAAGCTCTATCCATAGTGTTTACTTCCAGGGAGAGTATAAACAAAGTACTGTTTCTCTTGCAGCTGTGGAGATCCCCCCTTTCTCTGACAGCACTGCTAGTCCAATATGTCCTGGTCCTTGGAACCATAGGGAAATGGAAATGGAAATGGAAATGGAAATGGAAATGGAAGTGGAAATGGAAATGGAAATGGAAATGTCAGGTGATGTGGGTCTGTGAAAAACTGCCTGGAAAGAAAAAATCCGGAGCCTAAGAGGGATGAGAAAAGTAGGACTAAATTTTGGCAAATACCCCAAACCAACATTGCTGCAAAACCCAAGCTTATCCTTGTTTATCCTTGCATCAACATGGTTTTGCATGGCACACTGGTGAACTAGGGAGGGAACAGATGTAATTGAAAGCAATGCAGGAGAAGAATCCCAACCCTATGGATTGGCAATGTGGAAGTGGGATTACGGAGCAGTGGAGGTCAAGTTTGTTCCTGTCAGTGAGAGTTGCACTTTTGGCAACATTAAGGATTCAATAAACAACATGAGATGAAGTCCAGAGGCACAGTCTATGTTTGGCAGAAACATACATATATTCTGCCTTCCTATCCTCTTCCCCAACACCTTTTCCAAGGCCTATGCCCTCAATGTTCTTCTGTAGTAGAGCTTTTTTTTTTCTTTCTTTTTTTTTTTTTTTTTTTGGTCTTCTGTGGACTGGCTTTTGCGTATTTGCAACTCCTCACCACTGCCTCCACCATCACTGTTCACAGGAGCTGCTTGGCTACATTTCAGATGCTGCTCTGGCCTTGTCTATGCTTTTGTTTTTAGGAGCTTTTCAGAGATTTTTTCCATGGCATTGCTTAGCAGCACCTCCAGTTCCTCCTCAGCTCCTGCAAGGAGAGTGAGCAGGAAGGGTGCCCAGGAGGGTGGGAGAGAGCAAGAAGCTGTTGAGGGGCAAAGCAGGGGGAGGCTGGAGGGAGTAGTACTCAGTCCTCCCCACAGGCCCTGTCAGCACCCTTGCTGGAAATACCACTTCCGTCACCAACTGGTAGTGCAATTCCCGCCAGTGTTAACCAAGACTTCATTCTTTTTGGACATGAGAAGGCTTTCTCTGCCAGACTCACAATGTGAGATGAGTGGCAGATGTAAAGTTTGTCTAGATAGTCCAATAGAAATCATGACTTAATGCCAAGTAGTATCACCAACTCAAAGCATAGAATTATATCCCTTTAATTCTGCTCATTAGCATCACAAATTAACATTAATATTATTAGTATCCATTTCTATTTGGAAAAAAAAATAAAAACTCTGTCTGTCTTTTTTTCTGTGATACCATAGTGCAGGGTGTTGCAAACATGTACATTTTTACAAGAATTATAGTACTTGTGATTTTAACGCGTTAATGAACCAGATCAGTTAAACTCAATGGTCAAGATGTGCTGAACCAGATCAGTTAAACTCAATGGTCAAGATGTGCTGTTTGAAAATATGTGTTTTATTTTTCAAACTTTATTTATTTAACTTTTTGAGCAAATAGATATTTTGTGTGTTAACAACTTTATTGCAAAAAAAAAAAAAAGTTTGTAATATAGTGTTACAAAGGTATGCAGTGCCTACAGAATGCATGTAAGACATTTCCATCCACCAACAAGGTTGCTATAAGAGGAAATATAAATGTACCATAGAATAACTGAATCTCTTGAGTTGGAAGGGGCCCACAGGGATCATCAAATACAACTCCTGGCTCTGACCAGGACCACCCCAAAATCAAACCCTATGTCTGAGAGCGTTGTCCAAATACTTCTTGAACTCTGACAGGCTCAGTGCTGTGACCACTTCCCTGGGGATTCCGTTCCAGTGCCTGACCACCCTCTGGGTGCAGAACCTTTCCCTAACCCCCAGCCTGACACTCCCCTGCCCCAGTTCCATGCCGTCCCCTTGGGTCCTGTCGCTGTCCCCAGAGAGCAAAGCTCAGCGTCTGCCCCTCTGCTCCCCTCCCGAGGGAGCTGCAGGCCGCCATGAGGCCTCCCCTCAGCCTGCTCTACTCTGGACTGAACAGACTAAGTGACTTCAGGCTCTCTTCGTATGTTTTGCCCTTTAGACCCTTCACCATCTTTGTAGTCCTCCTTTGGACACTCTCTAATGGTGGATGGCCTTCCTCACATTGTGGTGCCCAAACCTGCACACAGTACTTGAAGTGAGGTGTCTTTTGTCTGCCAGGGCACACTGATGACTCCCGTTCATTTTGCTGTTGACCAGAACCCCTCAATCCCTTTCCACGGGGCTGCTTTCAACTTCTCATTGCCCATTTTATATGTATAGCTAGGCTGCCCCATCCCAGGTACGAAGTCCAGTACTTGCTCTTGTCAAACTTCATATGGCTGGTGACTACCCATCTTTGCAGTTTGTCAAGATCTTTCAAGATCTGCAAGACCTTTCTACCCTTAAGCGATTCAACAGCTCTTTATAATTTAGTGTCATCTATAAGATTAACTATTATGCATTAAATTATTTAGCCTAGAGAAAAAGGAGGCTTAGGGGAAGCAACAAGCAATAGGACAAGAGGAAATAGCCTCAATTTGCACCAGTGGAGGTTTAGGTTGGATATTAGGAAAATCTTCTTCACTGAAAGGGTTGTAAAGCATTGGAACAGGCTCCCCAGGCATGTAATTGAGTCACCGTCCCTGGAGGCGTTCAAAAGATGTGTAGACGTGTTGTTTAGGGACATAGTTTAGTGCTAGAATTGGCAGTGCTAGGTTAACAGTTGTATTTGACTGTCTCAGAGATCTTTTCCAACCTAAATGATTCTATGATTCTATGTCCTGCATCCAGATCATTTACATAAGCATTGAAGAGAACTGGCCCTAAAATGAAGCCCCGGGGAATCCCTCTAGTGACTGACCACCACCCTGATATAACTCCACTTACTATAACCTTTTGATCCCAATCATGTCTTCTGCTGCAGGGTAAAACTGCTTAACGTACTTTTAAACCAAAAATTTATTGCTTTTTTAATGACACATAATTAACTGGCAGTCAGTGAACTACACATTCAAACTGATTCATTCCATGTTTTAAATGTCTCTGTAGTTCCTCAATTACTGTTTAATCTGGCTGGTGGTCTACTTTGTTTTAACATAATTATTTTGGGGCAAACACTTTCTCAGACAGTTTTGTCTCAAATTCACATACACTGTAAACTCTCACATTTCCCTCTGTTGTTCAGGCACTTTGTCAAGGGTGGGCCATGTGAGTATCCCCACAAATCTCTTGTGTTATGAACTTCAGTGGTTTCCAACTTTTGTTGTTATATAGCAGTACTCAGTCTCTGACCTGAAAATATTTTCTCATAATCAAACCTCCTAAGGGATATAGTGGAGCCTGAAGCAGAAAGGAAGATGAGGAAGAAAGAATATGGAAGAGATGGGATCCTGTCTGATGATTCCTGATGGGAACCATCTTGGACATTGCTCTTTGTTGGGGACAAAAGCAATGAGCATGGCAGTAAGATCATACAGGTACAGCAAGATATACCAATTGTTATTTTATTGCTGTCTGATGAGCAAGAGATGTTGAAGTAGAAAGAAGCAGAACGAAGTTTCACCGATATTTTATGCTTGCAGGCAATAAATAAGAAATGTATGTGGAAAACAATATAGATCTTTGAATTTCAAAAATGCAGTCCTTAATTCCCTAGAAAAACTGTGTGTGTGTGTGTGTTTCTACATACTTTGCGAGTTCTCTTAAGTCTCATTCTAGTGCCTCAGATTTCACAAAGCTTGATCTAAAAGAAGGAAAATCTGTGAGCCATGGGCTCATGCCATTTCTCCCCACTCCTCAGGGTGTATCCACAACTTGCTAGGTATCACTGTGAGGAGATCCCAGAGGCAGACCTCCAGTTTACAAGCTGAGATGTGGGTGGTGGATCACCCCATTTTTGGGGGGGAGGAGATGTGCAGAGCCCTGCATGAGTGTGTTATGTTGTTTCCAGGGCCCACCACGACTTTCTGGGAAGTGGGTTTGCTTCATCTGTCCAGCACCATGCTCCACCAGTCTGTGTGCTGCAGGTGGTTGGTGCTAGCAGCAAGGCAACCTGCTTCGAAGCACAGCCACATTTTGCTTGAAGAGGCGGCTTCCGCTCAGCACAAATGACAGCAGATCCAGGCAGCTGAGTGCAGTCAGACTTAAAAAAACTTCATTATAGCTTTCTAACTGTTCATAGTCATTCACATGCCGTATGTAGTAGGCCCTAAAGAGATGATAGGGAAGGAAGCAAATTATGATGACACAGATGAAAATCAAGTTTTTCACCTGGGCCCAGAACTCTTGGTGTGACCAGAGGGAGGTGGAGAATTTTCTTGACACTTTTATCAGAATGAAAATCTGCAAGCTCAAGAGAATACAAGTAATACAGGCGATGGCCACAATTACTAGGTAGTTCAGGATTTTCACACTGTCCTGCTGTAGCTCTTTGTGGAACTTAAAGCATGTTTTATTATCATATGTCCCTGAGCGTCCATACTCAATGCAGAAGAGTGGCACCACAAAGACAATGACGAAGATCCACACGGCAATGCTTGCGGCAATGGCATGCAGCTTCCTATAAAACTCTACCTTATCCTTCCATTGAAAAAAGATCAGCCACCGTATCACCAGAGTAATCACGTAGAATAGGAAGGTCAGGTACATGTGGAGGTGCACCATAGCACTCACCATTTTGCAGAATGGCATCTGGAAGACCCACTCCTTGTTGACATAGTAGTGCAGGCGGAAGGGCACTGTGAGGAGAAGGAGACCATGCACCACAACCAGGTTAACGATGGCTGTAGTGGTCACAGACAGAGTGTTCATCTTGACCAGCACAAATGACATTGCAATGGACCCTATCCCACCTCCAGCAAAGGCAACTGAGTAGACAGTAATCAGGATGGCACTCATGGAGTTCGTGTGGGTGAAGGAAGAGGAGGAGCCATTGTTAGCCATATTTTCTTCAGTCATATTCCTGAAATCTTCCTTGTACATATTCTAAAAATGAAAGAATACATAAAGACTGGGTAAGAGTACGAGTGTACAGAGCCCATCTGAAATGCCAGCAGAGCTTTCCATCTGGCTCTTACTCAAGGAGTAAACGTGGATTCTTACACATGGAACAAGCTGTAATGGTTATTCAAACATCTGCCAGTCTAGAGAAACCAAGCTGAGAAGGTTGGGAGGAGGAACTGCTGTAGTAATTGAGATGTTACCACACCCTTAAGCATGAATTAGTAGTAGGTGAAAAGAAAAGATTCTTAGAGAAATCATGATTTTGTTTTTGAGCTGTGTTTACTTATGATCATTTCCATTGTTCTTCAGCAAACATCAGAGATACTGTTTTAATTCTGCTACTCATGCATCAATTTGTTTATTTGAAGCACAAATCTGCCCTTCCCAGAGCCAGAAAATAACCATATGCTGTTCTATCAAAGCTACAAATTTTGTCTGCTACAGTGTGCTGGGTTCTGCACACATTTCAGTCAATTCCTTCTCCATGGACAGGACATCTGAGTAATGGATTAAATAGCATGGATACTTAGGCTCAGTGGAGATTCTGCTCAGATCCTGCTAGCCTGAGCAGCATGTGCAGTGCTGTCCCGGTGCTCAGGGCCCTTTCACTCTAATGTGTGGGGACAGGGTGTTACAAAATAGGATATTAGAAAATGCTAGAAAAGGCCATCTTGGGTTAGTGCAAATAAGCTTTCCTGTCTGGAACGGATGGAGGCTAACTGAAAGTTAGCGAAAAGTTTAATACATATGCCATATGTTTTTAATATAATGCTTCTGCAAAGAGAGATTAAATACAATTTTGATTATTCTAAATGTATTTTCTGTTAGTATTTTTAAGTATTATGAGAGTATGTGGGAGAAGAAAAGTTCAGGTGGGGTGTCATACTGAAGCTTGTTTGCATTTATGAAGGTATCAAGAGGATGTCCACACTACAGTCACAGAAAGAAAGCTGGAAAAAACGAACAATTCTGGGGTCTGTACTATCCTGGTTATACTGCTAATGCAACCTGAAAAATCTCATTTAAAACTGGCTCTAGTATATCTTCCGTTTCACCTGTGAATCCTGCAATACAAGGTTTTCTTCCTGGGTGAGGTTTTGAAATCTTTTATTTTAATATGACAATGATATTAACTTCACAAAGTTGTATTTATACCTCTTTGTATGACTGGTATTTCACCTTGTTTTCATAAATAAGTTGGGAGGGAAAAATGTTGTTTAGCATTTCTCTCTCTTGTGGAAAAGAGGAAATACCTGTAACATTTTTATAAACCATTTTTGCTCACAGTGAGACATTAATATCTGATATGTGTCTCATATTTTTATTGTTCCTTAGCAGTATTTCTAGGCATTTGCCACTACAGAAATCAAAATCTCTTTATACTTTGAAAAATCTCTGTTTATCCTACTGCAACTAAGACTTCAGCTATTTTATCGTATTCAGCATAAACAGAACCTTAAGTAGTATATGGTGTTTGTTGGTATATACTGACCTTTTCTGTTTGAAAAAGTCATTCTGAATTTCATGGATAACTAAGTGCAGTGCATAAAGAGAAGTAAAATGACATGCAATGAAAGAGCTTCTTCTTAAAGATGCTGCTTATTGGCACATTGCAGTTCTTGCATCAGAAACCATAGAAGTTCCTTCCAGTTTTGTTCTCGTTCCTGAGATGTGTTTGTTTCAGCCTCACACCGTGAAAGCCAGAAGTCATTAGCAATAGCTACTCATTGGTTTCTCAAGCCGTTAAACTTTAATTTGAAAAGATGTTCCTAAAAAGTGGCATTAATACACTGTTTTAATTTAAAATACATATTTAAAGTTTTAAAAGTGTCACAGCCCTAAAAGCAACAAGCTGCAAATGCAGGTACATGTTAGCAGCCACACAGCAATGATGTGCTTGTAGAGAAAGGACCTCTCATGGTCACTGTTCAGAGTCCAGCAATGAAACTTGATCTGAGACAGGAAGGAAAAGATACGCAGAAGTCAGATAACTGATATTATCCTCATGTAGTCCTATTAGGTGGACAGCAAGAAACCTATCTGTGTCTACAAAAAAATCAACCTAGACACTGAAATGCAGGCTTCTGCAGAATTCCACAGTCATTGCTAAGTCCCTTTGTTGTAAGATTCTGCAGGAGATCTCATTTTCTTTAATCTTCAGAAAAAAGTTACCAGCAGATATTATATAGGAAATAAGCTTATCAGCTTGCCACTACTACAGACATCCAACTGAAATGTCATTGTGTGATGATACAGAGTGTTTGACACTCTGGATGACACAGGATGTTTCACAGAGGAGATGCTGCTTTCTGGTAAGATAAGGCTTCCTATTGTGCTGACACTCACATAGCTACAGCCCACTGACCTGCTTTACAACCAACAAATTCTTTGGCCAGTATTTCACAGAATCACAGAATCATTTAGGTTGGAAGAGACCTCAAGATCATTGAGTCCAGCCTCTGACCTAACACTAACAAGCCCTCCACTAAACCATATCACTAAGCTCTACATCTAAACGTCTTCAAAATACCTCCAGGGATGGTGACTCAACCACTTCCCTGGGCAGCCCATTCCAATGCCTCACAACCCTCTCAGTAAAGAAGTTCTTCCTATTATCCAACTTAAACCTCCCCTGGTGCAGCTTTACCCCATTCCCCCTCAAACTGTCACCAGGCACATGGGAGAATAGACCAACCCCCACCTCTCTACAGCCTCCTCTAAGGTACCTGCGGAGTGCAATAAGGTTGCCCCTGAGCCTCCTCTGTTCCAGGCTGAACAAGCCCAGCTCCTTCAGCCACTCCCCATGGGACTTGTTCTCCAGACCCCTCACCAGCTTTGTTGCCCTTCTCTGGACTCGCTTGAGCACCTCAATGTCCTTCTTGTTGTGAGGGGCCCAAAACTGAACACAGTACTCGAGGTACGGCCTCACCAGAGCCGAGTACAGGGGGACAATCACTTCCCTAGCCCTGCTGGCCACACTGTTTCTTATGCAAGCCAGGATGCCGTTGGCCTTCTTGGCCACCTGAGCACACTGCTGTCTCATTTTCAGCCAACTATCTACCAATACTCCCAGGTCCTTCTCTGCCAGGCAGCTTTCCAACCACGCATCTCCCAGCCTGTAGCGCTGCTTGGGGTTTTCTCCTCCAAATGTCAGTGCCTTCCTATCCCCTCCCCCTCTAGCCACAGCCAGTTCAGTGATATTGCTCAAGTTTTGGAGCAAGGTTTGCTCTTCCTGTGCATTAAGTCTCTCGGTTAATTTCTGTTGTGCTTTGACCAGTCATGAGGGGCAACCACTTTATTTGAATGCCATAGCCGTTACAGAGACATCTACTGGTGCCAAGGGCACAGAGGCATTGCCAAAACAGCTACATTTTAATTTGACAAAGGAGTTAAACTGCCAAGAGGCTAGATGCTGGGTACTTTCAGAAATATGATCAGCCAAAAGATTCATGTGTGTTCAAGATCCATCAGTTTTCAGGGCAGATAATGCCATTACTTTCATTTCCTGTTACTTTCTGCACAGCACAGCCCACAGAACTTCCTTGGCCTACCCTGGTCAAACAGAGTATGTCATTTACAAATATGACTCAGTCTGTCAACATTTTCCCAGTAAAAGCATATTTCTTCTGACCTTTAGGAAATCATTTCTCCTTTATCCTACTGTCAATTATCCCACTGTTTTAAAATAATTACGGGCAAACTATATTTCCAGACAGAATTTGTACCAGTTCAACTTCCAGATATCATACATGCTTATGATTTTTCCTTTGGATTCAAAAGCCTTTCTCAAGTTTTGCTTTTTGTTTTTCTCAATATTTAGTAGTTTTTTCATGTTTAGATTTTTTTAAATAGATACTTAGAGAAAAGTAGAGGTGAGAGATAGCTATCTTCTCTTTGTCTCAGTCATACTTGTGGCTCCTCCCTGAACTCCTCCATGCCATCAACATCATTCTCTTATTGTTTTCTTCTTATATGAACAACTTTGCATTTCAAAGTACTAAAATGCTCCTGACTTATTAATCCAAATCAGTCTGTCACTGATTTGTCCTCTTCACTGCTCAATGTTTTCCCAAGCAGGTTCATCAGTCACCATTATGTTACATCACCATTATATCAGCATATCCAAAAATAAATAAATTAATCACATTTGTCAAAAATGATTACACTTCTACAACCTCTGCCAAACAGTGAGCTCTACTTTCTGTATAACAAGTGTCTGTAAAATTTATCCCCCTGTATATCTGCTGAGGGACTGGCAGGCTTCACACAGATTTTCATGTGTTCTGACAGTTGGGTTCTGCATAAGAAGCATTTGCAGCCTGCATGCAGCCAACTGAGGAGTTTCGTTTGAATTTGCAGGGGGAAAAAATTGAATTCAAATGAAAGATTTCTATTTTTGACAGACTTAATAAAATGGAAAAAAGAATGTTTGTCAAAACTGACATCTCTGCATCAAAGTAAACTACATTGGTAGCAGTACAAAAGACAAATATTATTTAACAAAAACCCACTTAAAATGTACATTTGTTTCATAAACATCATCATTTAGTCTCAGAGCTGCTTTCTGTTGAGCATTGTAATTGCTTTTCGATTTACTCTCTTTCTATGCCATGTTATGGTAATGTATGCAATGCCACTAGAATAATTGCAGTATTCTCTTGATTTCAAAATTACTACACACACTTGAATTTTGAAGTATAAATGTCTGCTTAAAGTAAAACATAATATATTTAAATATGAAACGTATATTTACCCTGTATTTAGATACTGATTTTTTTTTCAAACAACATTTAGTGATTCCTCTAACTCATTCTCATCCTCTAACTCATTTACTTATGTCCTGTAACTGTGTCATCAGATTGGTATTATAAAACTACTTTTTAGTCTCTTGAAGATTGAATGGGATGAAAAAACTATGTTGAGTCCTCTTTTGTTTGATATTTTCACTGTTTTTACACAAAAATGGAAACCGTGGAACCTTCCTAATGATTTACTATTCAAGCTGTTCATACTGAAGAGAACAAATGTAACCTTCTGGTCTTCATAGGTATTGGATGATACCAAACACATGCTGGATGAAAAGATGGATGAAAAACAAAAGAATTAACTCCTACTTTTAGGAGGCAGTGCAGAGCTACAGGATAGCATTACAAAAAAGGTTGAAGCAATGTCTTCCTGTACTATAAAATTACAAACACAAATGATGAAAATAGTTGTGCAGGACAGCTTTAGAAGGAGTTCATAACAAAACAACTAGAAAAATTGATACTTTTTTTGAAGATGCAAACCCATTTTAACAGCATTGCAAACCAAGTCTTTTGTTCATTCTGTGTATACATACACATTAGAGTTTGTCTCCACTCTTCAAGTGTTATTTACTTGGCTCTTCACTTCATGTAGGCTCAAAGAACAAAAAGGAAAACACCCGCTATTTTATAGTGCCATTGCCTTGCTTCTTTCTTTGAACCCATGACAAAGCAACAACCATGGGCCTTCAGCTATGGGAGGGCAGGGCTGTCCATAAGCACACAACCTCAGGAAGATTTTGGTTGCATTCCTTGTGAAGGAAGAAGGGGGAGAAGAAATGCTCCCTTGGCTGTTACTATACTTGCATGTTACTATCCCCTACCCCTCATCTGATATCATAACAGGTCTTTGGAGAATTTAACACAAGATCTCCTAATTTACAGCAATTTCTTAGACTTTGGAAGTCTTCAAAGCTTCCCATTTCTGAGCAGCTATATTCTGCTGCTTAAAATAATCAAGTCTACACACATACATAAGCCTCACAGACCACAGAGATGCTTGTTTGGAAGGTTATTGCCCAGGGTAGAAGGGATTATTTGAAAGAATGTTTTGATAACCCAGGAGTACAGGAGCAAAATATGATCTATATTGCACCTGACAAAGTGTGGATTAACCATATCTATGTATATGGTTAAAGTCTAGACATCAAAGTGAAAGCAGTGAAACAAAGTGCATGCTATAGCCCAGCACCTTTTCTCCACCCTTCTGTCTGCCAAGACTGTAGTTCGGCATCTGGATCTCTTGGGACTTGGTGATACTGCAACACCTGAGCAGTGCTGGCAAAATGAAACTAGGAGATTTTAGTAAATAAATATTAGCCATGTCAGCATTGAGAACTCATTGGAAGTGGTGGTTATTGTGTGATGCATATAGTAAAAGATGACTTACTGCAGGACTGAATCTCTGTTAGGAGTCTGTGCAAGGACAATTTTACCCTCCTGCAGGCTTTCCTCATTTCTGCCAGGACACAGTTATATTTGAGTACAATACTTTTGAAAGCAAGGGTATTAACATTCAATGTTTAGATATAGTCTTACATAAGAACATTTTAACTGACTACATCCTATTGCTTCACATTTTGTTAAAAAACACAAGGGACATACTGTTCTGTGGTACTTCACAACAGGTTGCTATGTGTTGGAGACCATCTTTTTGCATTTCACAATTCTAACGGTGGTTAACAGTAAAAGAGATATTGAGTTAATATTAAAAAGTGACAAAAACAATAATACTTAGCTCTTACCTAGTACCTTTCTTCAGTTGATCTCAAAGCTCTGTTAAAAGGCATATGTACCATTCTCCCCATGCTACAGCTGAAAAGTTGAAGCATCTCTGGCAATGCCAGATATCCTTAAATCAAGTCCTCTGCTTTCTCAGGTTAGTCATGTTGTCTTGCGTTCTTGTAGGTCTTGTTCTAGAAAAAAAAATACAGGCCAATTAATAGTGGTAAGATATCTCAAAAATTTGTAGGTAGCATCTTAATGATTCTTTTTGGATGTTATATAATATTGTTGATAAATATAGTAAGTTAATGCATACAATATATTTATACAGTTATATATTATTGCTGATACATAACAGTGTTGGTTTCCTAAGTGGTCATCACAAACAGGAATTTATATGTTGAGTTCTTTGCATATGTTTGCATTCTGCAAAAAAAATTACAGTTCTTTTCCTAAATCAAACTGAAAATAAATATGAAATACCAGTTTGCTCTGGGACAGACATCCTTATTATCTTTGTTTGTCTCTGAGCTGAAGTTAGTGTCAAGTTATAGATAGATATAAAAAGTTTAATTCACATAATTGCAATTCATTTTCCTTGCTAGATTTGATGTAATTTTGTCCAAGATTTAGCAATAGTGTCTCTGGAATATGTTTCTCTAACTGTGATTCAGAGAATAGAATTCAGACTGCTATGTTTAGATTTTCACCAGTAACATACTAAGCTGGTGACAGATCAGCTGAATTTAAACACAGGTGCTGGAAATGTACATATTTCATAAGTCTTGAGTAATTTTGGAGGGTTTGAGCAATAACCCAAAATCTTAAAGAAGAATGACAAACAGCATGTTTGCATAGTCCCATTATATCACCTATATGAGACCTTCACCTAGTTTAAATTTGCATTATAGCAACAGTTTTATGGGTCAAGGCTGCTTAATAATAGTTGAGAACCTGTCCCAGTTTTCAAGGACTACTTGTTATGAGATCAGAGTAGCATCAAGACTCCTTTACTCTGAATTATGTGAAAGGTCCTTGAGAAATGAAAACTATGTCTTTTATGCTCAGACGTAATACACACTGTCAGTGATTTTTTCAGCTGTTCTGAACTTGGAGATGTACATAGAATAACCATGGCAACACAGGTGTTTTGATTTTCTGCATTTATTGTGCCAGAACTCAAGGATTTGAAGTGCTGCTTCAGAAGTGGAACAAAATATTAGTTTCAAAATATTATCCAAAATGCTGGTATAAATCAACTTTGCTGGACAATTGATCAGACTTCTGCTAGCTAAAAACCTCTTTAGAAATAGCAAATTATAATGCTTTCTTTTACATTGGCATTTATAGAAGAAACAGGTCTTCAATACTTGGTTTCTAGCCTCTTTTGTCTCTGTATATATTCAAAGCCAGCACTTCACCTTCTGTTACATTAATAAATATAAACCTGCTTATATCAACTGAGGCATAGTCCCGTAGTGGTTTACTAGTCCTATAATAAGCCATGAGCCTGACTGTCATCTCTAACATATAATTTAAATACAGCCCAGTTCCACTTTTACTGATGGCACCTCTGATGGAGTCTGGTGGGACAGCAGATCAAGGCCCTGCTTTTTCAATTTTCCCTTTGATTTATGTCTGAATATAAATCAGCCAACTACAACATGAAGACAGTTTCCTCTGAAACCACCTTCCAAAATCCCACAGTAGAGAGATCAGGGCGTTGGTCAGATGAAACAAAGTTCAATTTCTTGATAGCTGATCTGATTTTGATCTACCTTCTCTCATGAGCTGGGGAATATACATACATACATTGCCATGTATGTTTGACTGTTGAAGAACTGGTTTTGATAAATGTACCTGTGGACTGACAAACACCAAGCATGGTCCTACTCCTCACACCTTTTCGTAGGATGGAGTCAGAGCAGTGTCCTCAAGCAACGTCAGTGTCTGCTTCCTAGGAAAAAGGATGAAACACAGAGAGAGCATCTTCTGCTACATTCTGTTTCCCTTACTCAAAGCCCAGACCTCAGATCCCTTCCCAGTGCCAGCTATGGACCAGGTCCTAGTTTGTAAGGCTGTTTGAATCAGTCATGAAGTTGTAATTGTGACAGGTTAATTGCAATTTATCAGTAAGCAAAAGATCAGCTGTTAATATGAATAGCTGAAAGTTAGTACGTAGTTAGAGTAACTTTTAGTTGTTACTAAAAAAGTTATATTTTTTACTCATATTTCTAAAGGGCCTTTCTATTTGAAGCACCTGCATAGAAAGATAATAATTATCCATGAAAGGAGAAATGTTCAGTATCAGTATCAGCCAGAAACATTTTATGGGTAATAGGTTTCTTAAAATGTCTCTATCTGGGTTCTGAAGTGGTTGTGATTTACAGCTGTCACCCAGGTGGTGTAAAGCATCCTACAAGAGAGAAATACTGCTTGTGACACATCTGAAAGAACATTTTGCAAAACATATAGGGAGAAAAATGTGACTTGTAATTCCTCATTTCACACATCTTTGCACAGCAGAGATATAAATTCAAGCTCCTCTGAAAAGTGGAAATATATCTGGAGGCCTCCTCCTAGTTCCCTTTTCTAACTTAGAAACAAAACAAAACAAAACATTTTGCAATTTACTATCCCTGGGCATTGTTACTCAAAAGAAATCCACTTTAAAATACCTGAGCCAGAGTGATGTAAATAAAGGCTGTTTCCCCCTCTGTTTGTATCCCTACCTTTCCCTTCTTTACAAGCAACAAAATTCACCTCATTCCTTGTTGAAGAATAGTGTATCAATGAAACTGCCTCTGATTTCTATTAAGATCTTTCCCTATCCCAAATCTTTCAGTAGAGGAGTACTGCAAACAAACAAACACACAAAACCCTAAATCCACATAAAAATCTGTTGCACTTCTTCTTCAATAGGGGGAGGAGGTGTGTGGATCTTGAATCTAGAAAACAACTGTTCTAAAGCTAATAATTTGCCTTATTTTCTCCTTACATGCTTATGCTTTCTGATGGCATGATGCTTTGGCCTCAGTGTTTATTACTGAAGAAGATATGAGCCATCAGAACCACATACAAAAGCTATCTGTGCAGACTTCAGTCTAAAGGGACCTTTTGAGAAGGTATCTTCTTTATTTTTAACAACGACATGTTTCCAGCAGTCTGTCAGCAGCTTTAATATTATCTTGTACTGCAGGATTTTACTAGTTCACATCTCTGGCTTGTCAGTAGTTTTTTCTGGAGATATGCCTTTCATCAGTAATCCAGCACAGCTACTCATTTGTTATCAGAGCTTGTTCTCACCAGGATGAAAAAAAAAATGGAGGGAGGAGCTGATTGACAAGGAGATGCATTGCTCCTGCCATAAGGATGGCATTAAACTGCAGAGAATGAAATCATATATGCACTACTGTGCAAATTGTATGTGCATATATACTCTTCTGAGAAGAAAAAGACATTCCCTTCACCTGAAAAGACAGTACTGATCCTAAAATTTGTTTGAACTATGTGCTAGCCTCTCACTAACTGCCTAATAAGGCAGGTAGCATGTTTTAAATAATATTTTTCTTAATGTACAGCACAAGTGTATTGCTAATCATCCTCAAAATATTTACTGAAATTGCTAATGCTATTTTTTTCTCAGATCTTCTATTTCATATTTCATTTGATTTCTGACCGCAGATATATTACCAAATGCAGGGGAAAAAAAAAAAACATTTTAGTAGTGATCACTTTCCTGCTGCATATATACATCCAAATATTTATGAAATTTGGTATGCTAAAATGTGTTTTTCATGTTGGCAGAGGAATACACCTCCCTACATTAGCCTAGATTGTCTGCATAGAAGTACAGAAAGCAAAGCTTATTGCCAGTACTTCTACTTTGATGCTGAAATACTTCCCTACATCACCATAGGCATAATGAAATACATGACTTTGGTACTACAGCTGGGTAAGACAGAAGCCTGGAATTCAGGGTTCCTGATATCTTTTTCAGAAATGAGGAATTTACTGTAAGAGAAATGTTCTGCACTGCATTCAAAAAGTATATTGATTTGCAAGAGCCTTTCCTGACCAGCAAAGCTAAAGAATGCATAATGAAATGAAGCACTATAAGCATACGACTGCTCTATTACATCAAATTGTTTGGGCTGAAATGGCTCATTTTACTGCTAAATCTGGAGGATTCTGTGCTGAACTAATGACAAGCATTTGTGTTAGATAAAGATCTTCAGTGTATCTGCTGAAATGTGAAGCTAATTGTGTTAGGAGTAAGCACATTACTGAGTCATTTTTTAAGATTTTTGCCTATTTGATGTACTGCTGAAATTCTTAAGGACACAGCTAGAGACCAGTCAGGAGCAGCTGTAGAAACAACTAGAGTAAAGGCTGTGTGTCTGGCTGGTGGAGCAGTACCCATATCTGCCCTTCAGCCCACTGTCAGCTTGTCTCTTAGCCTCTTTCCCTGTTTCATTGACACAAGACTCACCAGAAAATCCTGGGGCATGCTGCTCGTGGCCATAATGCTCTTACCATGATGACAGTTCACAGAATCATAGAATCACAGAATATTGGGGATTGGAAGGGACCTTTAAAGATCATCTAGTCCAATCTGCCTGCTGGAGCAGGAACACCTAAATCATGTCACACAGTTCCTGCTTCAATCTGTTTATTTGGTTTCGGAGCTGTGCAGAGCATGGTTTGCCCTGTGATGTTGCACAGAGCACCATGCCACTGGGCTCCTGCCCTTGGTTGTTCTTTAGACCTCTCTGTGAGAAGAAGCAAAATCACTGAATTATCAATTAATTTCCCTGCCTAACTTTCTTCTTTTCATTTCATCCAGTTTATTTGCTATAAGTACTTTATAGATTTTTGCTTGCTGAAGGACATTCCTCTATGATATGAAGAGCCCTACTAAATAGACATACGAAAAAAAAAAAAAAAAAGAAAAAAAAAAGTAAAATCCATCTTCCATCTCAAGTCAGTGGAACACGGTGGAAAGAAGGCTCAAATATCATCAATCTAAGTTGGTACAGCAGTTTGTGTTGCCTGTGCAGATATGATCTCTGATCCTCAACAGTATCTGTTAGATTGGACATAACAACAGACTTCATTAGCCCCACTGTAACTTATTCTCAAGTCAGGTAGTTTGTAGATATCCCAAAAATAGTTTTCCTGTTGATTTCAGTGGTGTTAAGGATTCAATGAGATTAGGAAAATAAAGCACATAGTTAATGTGTTTAATTGTGCAACTGAATTGGAAATAAGAAGCATCAACTCACTGAGGAGAGATTTCCATTGCTAGCTTTTTTTCTCTGTGCATCATCAAATCAGGATCATTACTGGAAGTGATTCAATGACTTCCACAGCTCTCACAGTGAGAGATCTCACCATTCACTGTAAAGTATCATTAACACAAAAGTGCAGATAAAACAATGCCTATTAAGTGTCCACTGCAGATTTTCCTTTATGTCTATCTTACTTTGGCTGAAACCTGTTTCCACTTAATTTTCCTTAGGAAGGAAGATTTCATTCTGTTTCGTGAGCTTACAATAAAATAATGAATTCTGCACCATGAACTATCTCCACTTTATTTTCAGATTCATGTTCCCCTTGAGAAGTTACTGGACATCTGAGCTCATCTGGTGATCATTCTCTTCCTACCCCTAAGATTATCCTCACATTACCTTAATTTCAGCTGTGTGTCAGAGAGCTCTTCTTGGTTAGAAAGAAGTCAATTAATCTTTTAAGGGGTTCCAACATTATATTTTATTATGCTTTTTTGAACTATTTTTCCCTGATTTTTTTTTTCCAGATTCAGAAGCATTCTGAGCATGATTTTTTAGGGGCAGAAGGGTAGAATTCATTCAATTGTTCAGTATTGCATTGTCAAAAGAAGATGTGCATGTTTCCATGTGAATCTGAGGTATGTTCATAATGCAGAAGTATCTAAGCTAGCTTTAAACAGGGAGTTGATGATAGGTCTGTGTTGGTATGATGCTCCCTCTGGTCTAATTTATTCCAGTTTTCCAGACCTAGAGGCATTAGTATTTTCAATGCTTCTGTTAGGTCCTTCAAAGCTAGTTTTGTGCACTTCCCAGTTTGTGTCTGTTGGGGCTGTCATAAAAACATCCAGGTTGGCAGGGACCTCTGGAAATTTTACAGTCAAACCACCTGCTGAAAGCAGTGCCTTAGGCCAGGTTATCCAGAATCCCATCAAACCAAGCATTAACTATTTCCAGCAAGGGAGATTCCACCACTTCCAATGTTTCAGTGTTTGTCTTGAACCAGGGAGACCAAACCTGGACACAGTATCCCAGGCATAGCCAGACAGGTGCTAATTGGAGTGGAATAATCACACCCTTGACTGCTAGCTGTACCCTTGTTGATGCAGCACAACAAGGTTTCCCTTCATAGGTGAGGGCATACTGCTGGCACACGTGCAGGTTCCCATCCACCAGGACCCTCCAGGTCGCACCCCAGTCAGTCAAACACCCTGCTTTCCCAAAACTGCTACATGGGACTAGTGTGTCCCAGGTGTGGGATTTAACATTTATCGTTGTTAACCCTCATGCTGTTCTTGTTGGCCCAACCTTCCAGCCTGTCACAATCTCTCTGTTTGGTGTTCCTTTCTTTCAGCATCTTTCAGCTTCCAACTTGGTGTCATCTTCAAACGTGCTGAGGATGCACTCAGACCTGTCAATCCTGAGTTTTTATAAAGCTATTGAATATTTTCAGAACTGACTCCTAAGGAACTCCACTTGTGACTGGCTCTTGGTTAACCACCAGCCATTAACCACCAAACTTTCCGCTTGGCAGTTTAGCCAGTTCTCTACCTAACTCATGGTCAGTCTGCCCAGTTCATATATTGCCAGCCTGACAACTGGATACTGAGGATGAGCAGGTCAAAGATCTTGCTAAATTCAAAGCAGGTGATGTCCACGGATCTCTCCTCAGCTACTTAGCAAATTGATTCATTGTGGAAGGCATCATTATAATGGCAACTAAAGACAATGCTCTTTGTAGGTTGGTAGATACTTTTCTCCTAAAGAAACAATTTTTACACCAATTTCTTCATCATTTGATAGCCATTGACCTCAAAATTTACTTCAAACAGTGCTACTTACTGCTAATATTTTCTTATATCCTCAAGAACATAACAGAACAGAATTCCAACTATTTTGTCTGGTTAGTGGCATTTTCACTAAAGTGTCTTTTTCACTTACAAAATGGCAAGAAAAATCTTCTCAGACTCTAGATGTTTTTGGGGCCAAACATATGCAGCATATTCAAAGGGGTGATGCCTTTCTGTGTGTTCTAAGAACACCAGGGAGATTTAAGCTCTTATGTAGTGAGAAGCTCCTGGACAGAAGCAAGTTATTGAGGTGTTATGTAAACCTTCAAAGTTTACAGCCTAGTTTTACCTACTGTAGGTTGTTTGCATACTTCAGCTGATAATGTTGGCACAAAGATGAGAATTGCAAAGATACAGTTCAAAGGTGAAAAAACAAACTTGCTACTCCATGTCTTCTTATCAGGAAGGGGCATGGAGCTGTGGGTTGACAATAAGGTGAGAAAAAAAGCTGCTATTGCTTTTTATCTAGAGAAGTAAAAACAACCTACTTTATATATGGTCACCCAGAAAAGTTCCAAAGTTCAAACAGAAACTATCTGAATAATATATGCGTACTCCTGTGTACATCTGGTGACACAGGTCATTTTTACTGGTGTACCTTCCGATTACATTTCTCTACCCTCCAGCCACAGCTCTGCCTTGTCTGATTTATCCATGTCACCTCAGTTCATGCTTTTCTTTTCCCTGATCACTGGGAAGGGCACTCAGTTGCTTTTCCTAGCTAACAAGAGAAAGATCTTTAACATCAATAACATGAAAAAAAAAACTGTCATCCATGATGCCTTTGTTGCTCTCCTAATAGCCTCTTGTACACAATGAGCAACAGGAAGGCAGTGATGTAAAAAACAGTATCAGAGCAGATAACCAGTGGCTAAATCAGCCACCCAAAGCCTGTCAAGAAGTGGACCGTTTAGCGTCCACTAAACCACGCACCAGCCATTTTTGCTGAGTTACGTGTCTGAAATCATCAGGGAAGGTGTCCAACAGCACCACAGTGGTGCCAGATCTGCCAGCCCCCTGATTGTCAGGGGGCATTGGGACTCTCAGCACCTGAGGTGATTTTGTAAATTTGACTCTTCATGAAAGATTATCAAAGATAATCTTTGAGAGAGCTAATAAAAGCAAAAATTTCCTTCTTGTTCTTTGCTTAAAGATTGACCACCCAAACCGGTAGTATTAGTCTTGTATTTCTGGCTTACATTTTCTTTTAATAAAATAATTTTGGGGAAGGATTTTTGAAGTGCAGATGCTATTTTAAAAGGACCGTGGATGCGCTTCCTTCACCTCTGACTCTCATAATGCACTTTTAACTGCCTTTTACTTTGCTTCCACAAATTGCACAAAATCTGATGTTCACAACTGCTGCAGTAAAGTAAAAACCCGAGCACTTTTAACTTCGATCTTACAGCTTTTCTCCCAGCTTAAAGCGTTAAGCTTACCTCCCGAAGCTTACCTCACAAAGAACCATTAAAGTTCACCCAAATCTGCAGCCTTTTCATCTGAGTTTAATAACATTTCCATCCTCCTCTCTAAGGTGAAGGGAAAAAAATCCTCTGTTCTGCATATCTGCCTCCAATACCTCTGCTGAGTACCTTTGCAGCACTTACCTGTGGACTCTCCGTGAGGACAGCAGGAGACTTGTGTCACTCTGCACAACTCACTGACTTTGCAAAGAAGTGCTGTTAAGGAACTGCAACTGCAACCAAGCTCTTTCTGCTTCCTGAAATATCACCCACTGCCCTTAAACCACGAACAGCTGACAAATGTGCTCGGACCAATTCTGATCTTCTTGTGTCTAGTTGAGTTGATGTGTTTGGTTTGGTTGTTTGATATTTATTTATTTATTTTAATTCTTGTTCTATTCAATACATGTTAAATATGTCTACTTATTGCAAAATATATCTGCTTGTAAGCAGTTTCAGTTGCATGAAATAGAGATGAGTACCTGCTCTGTATGTATATAGTAGTGTATTACACTACAATCTTTTTATAAATGAAAAGTATCAGCTCAGTCTCTTTATAAATGATGAGAATAAGGCATGCAAGGAGAAGGAATTTTTGACAGGGATTTGCTTTTATCATGATCCTCTTCATTATACACTGTTGGCTGTATCCTAATTTGTATTCAATGTATATATCTACAACCAGTAATCCTTATTTGTATTCAATATTCAAATATTTGTATCCTAATTTGTATTCAATGTATATATCTACAACCAGTAATCTGGCAGAGCAGAGCAGCAGAGATACATACAAAGGTCCTAGAATTCCCTCGCCCCCTTTAATTTCTAGACATTGTTCACCATCAGTATTGTGGCAGAATATCTGCAATACCTGACTATGCAGGAAGTAGCAGGACAAACTCATTTCTCTACAAAAACTTGAAGAAATGTTCCCAGGAGTTTCAGTATGAATAATAGAAGTGTTCAGAGTAAAGGTGTTTACTTTCTTCCAAATTAAGGGGATATACTTGGGGACATTTAAATCCAAAAGCTCATTAAATGTTCTGTTTTATCCCTTTGTCAAGATTCTCCAAGATAAAAAGCAATAGTGTGGGAAAATATAATTCAATCCCTAGCAATGTCTAACTGCTCTTTTTAGTGCTTAATAAGGAAACTATTGCTGCAGTTACTGTTTGAGCTTAAAAAATATTCTTGTAAGATTTTAGTGATCTGCAGTTTAAAACTTAAAACCAGTTCAATTTTAAAAAAAAATTTAGTAATACCTTTCATAAAATAAAAAGTACAGAAAAATGTGCAATACCCTACTAGTCCTATATTATATGTTGTGAAGGTAAGGTGTAAAAGAGCTTGGATGATTTCTTCAGAGTCACATAGCAAGTCTGCTACTGAATCAGGATTAGACTACATATCTTCTGAAGCTGTGCCTTGTGCTTTAACCTGTAGGGGGTATTTTCCCTTCAGTAACAATCTGGAAGGAGGGTTTACAGAGCCAAACTTGTCACCTTAACTTGTGAAATCCAGTACCTCCCTATTACTTCAAGCCAAAAACAGCTGCAAATTTTTAAGGAGCTGCTCATATAGAGCATTAAATAGACCTGAGACTTTAACACTTAGATGAGTAAAGTTTCCGTTGTCCCCAGGAATGTAGGCTTTCTCCATGGCCCTTAAAGACTGATCTAATTGCAGAGTACTAGGGTAGTAGAGGATATGGGCTTCTGGAGGTCACCTGTTTTAACCCATCACTCAAAGCAGGACAAGCTCATTTCAGGGTGCTCAGAGCCCAGTCCAATGGTTTCAATATCTCCAAGGATGCAGAACCTACCACCTATGGGCACTTGTTCCAAGATTTTACTTTCCTTATGGTGATTTTTTTTTCCTATCATGTAATTGGAATTTTCCATGCTGCAACTTATATCCATTGCCTCTTGTCCTGTCACTATGTAAGTCTGGGAAGCATCTGACTCCGTCTTTATCTGCTGCCTCTCATGGGGTAGTTGGAGACAGTGATAAAACCTGTCTGTGCTCTTGGTAAGGCAACCCAAAATGTGGTTAGCCTTATTGGCTGCCGGGGCTCATGTTCAGCTTCTTGTACAAGGTACATCCTGATCCTTTTCTGCAAATCTTGCTTGCTAGACTGGCCGTGCCCAGCCCTTACTATCTGATGGGTTTATTCAGTCCCAGGTGCAGGGATTTGCATTTGACTTCGCCGTCCCTCATAAGGTTCCTGTCAGCCTATTTTTCCAGCCTGTCCAAGTCCCCTTTAATGCCTTTGAGCCTTGCCCTTGAGTGTACTAGGCACCCATCTTAATTTGGCATCCCTCCAGCTGTGTCATTAATGCAGATGTTAGATAGTGTTGACCTCAATATGATCTGAGAAGTGCTGCTAGTTGTTCATTGTCCTCAGTCAGTCTTTCCTGACTGTTCTCAGTCCCCTCATCTATTTCTGAACAGATTTGCTCCATAAGCAATTGCCACAGTCTTCAAAAGATGATTGAGGTCATCCTTGTAGGAACACCTGGCAACCTTAGATGAACATCACATCCCATGGATTGGACCCTGTGGGACATATAATGTGAGCAGTCAATGGTGTCAGTGATCTTTGATGAATGTGTAGACAAAGTGGGTGTCAAGCATGGAACCTCACTGCCCTGCCCACTGTTTGCATCACAAGGGCTGGAAACCCTGCTGTGGCATCTCCTGGAGGCCACAGGCACAGATATGTCCATGCTTCTGCCATCGTAAAACATCACTCAGGTAGGCACTGAAAAATACAGCATTAAGCGAACAGCTGCTGCTTGTCTGCTTTATTGTGGAAGTAATTTGTCCTAGGGGCTTGACCATGTCCATCAATAAATCACACCAGAAAGCTGAAAGACTTCAACTACATCCTTAATCTTTGTAAGGGAAAACTGCCTGATTCATACTACTATTTCCAGAGAAAAACAATGGGACCATTTCTTACTAACTACAGAATCATAAAGAGAGAGAAAAAAGTTGAAGAAAATATGTAACTAATACAGCACTTAACTTTCATGGCTTTTCTATTATCTTTATTTGCTGTCCAGTGCTTTTCCCCTGTGTGCAAATGGAGTATTATAACATAGCAGGGTGGAGGAGTAAGGATGGATTAAAGCATAAGTTTGGAGCAAAATGGAACAGGAAAAGTCTAATGTATTGTGAGGAAATGTTTGATGTATTGTAAAGGGGAAAATACTACCAACGGTGAAGTGCTCCTTTGTTGAAGCACAGCAAAGGCTTGAGCCAGCTAGTTTTCATCCAAGTGGTGTTCCTACTCTGAGTGGTACAACATCTGTATGAGTACTACAGTTGCATCTAATGAAAATAGGTGTTGCAAACATATATCCTGCATGTGTTGCTGAGAGCAGATCACTGGGCATCTCCTCATTGCCTCTGAGTGCCATCGTAAGCAGTGAAGAGCCTTTGAGAGGCTCAGCTGATAAACAGAAATTGCCCATTGTGACTTCTTGATTGCAAGTGAGTAAGCAACCCAGTTTGGTCTAGACTGGGGAAGGCTGCAAGGAGACTGAAGAGTTTTAATAATAAATATCAAGGTGTGGCCCCAACTTTCAAGGAGATGTCCTCAGTAGCAAGACTTCTCTGCATGTTCATAGGCCTCACCACAAGTTTACTGAATGTAAATATGGCAGATGCTTGTTGTTTGCAATAAGCTTTTACTACTGTCTCAATTTTTTTCCCTGCAAATCAGAGGTTATAGATACAATGATAACTATTAAAGTCTCTGGCTCATGTACAAACTCTTTGAACACTGAACAGATTACTGTACTTCTTCAGAAAAGCCAAAGAATTGCCTTCTTAGAGGAAAATGTGAATAATATCTGCTACAATAGTGCACAGTTGATTGTAGATGACCTTTAACAGCTAGAAGAGGCATGGATCTGTTTTACCAATATTTCTTGTATCTTCCATCTTAACAACAACACAGAAGAGCAGAAGAGGCAGTGGACAAGAGCTGCTGCTGAAGCCTTGAGTTATCCTCCTTGATGAATCCTCTGGAGATTATTTTTCCTATGGTGAGGGATGACATGCTTTTTGCTGCAATGTCTGAAGAACAATGTTAGTTCCTTTTGCTGTGCACTATTGTGCAGAGAATAAAATAGAAAGCTTTGGTTCTGCTATTGTGGTGGCTGTGTTTGGGAATAGATTTGCCTATGAGCAGATAGAACCAGTTCTGAGGCAACAACAAACTATCTTCTGATGCTTGGGCTCTCCAGTGCAGCTTATCAGTGAAACGTAGTCATGTTCTTTGGTCAGTGAGGAGAAGGAAGCAACTTAAACACGCAAAAGAAAGATTAGATAGTAGAACCACTGAAAACACTCAGAGCAAAAGATATGTCATGAAATTTTGCATGTCAGCTGGTTGGCTGTGAAAGTGAGTGACTTGCTTTTCTAAATCAAACTGGAAATGCCAGGAACTGAAAAGCTTTCTGTGGTGGAGTTAACTTTTTCTAGTATCCTCTCCTGGAACAAGCACGGAAGTCTTTGGCTGCTGGGAGGGTGGATCACTCTCAGGATCAAATCTCAAGCAATAGGCCATGCCTCTGTGAACTGTCTGAGGTGAAGAGCTAATCTGAAGAACACATAAAAATATCCTTATTTTTTTCTCAGCTCAGTTTCTGGCATGTAGTTGTCATGGTTTCCAAATCTAGCTTAAGAAAAAAAATACTATAGGAAAATCAAGTTTCTCCAACCACATGGAAGGGAAAACAAGGTACTTTAAGCACTGTGTGTACTAGAAACAGCATGCAGCCATCCAGTATCTAAGCATTTCTGGCAGACTTGGGAATAACAGAGGATTTATTTATTTTTTTAATTACCATTGAATAAACAAGGAAATTGTATTTTGAAAACTCATGAGGGATGCAGAGCAGTGATGAAGTCAGATTTAGGGTTTCTTACCCATACACAAGCAAAAAATCTCTGGATAAACAAGATGTAAATGACCATTCAGCTGCTGTAATAGGACAGACATCTGTGCCACAAAACAGTCAAAAATCTTGCCTTCCTAAATGAGGGTTTTGCATCTGGAGGCCGCAAGATTTACCTTCACCCAAGGAAGGGACAACTGTTTTGTACACTATTGCGAGCAGTAGCCCAGTACTGTCACAAGGTGAAGTACATTGTCTGTACAGAGACAGTGATGTCCCAAAGAAAGGCAGCAGCCATAGCATATAAGGGAGAACAAAGCAGAAAAGCAGAAATTAGAAGTAAAGAAATTAATTTGGAGACATGACA